AGGCAACCTTCTTGTGTGTGTGTGTGTGTGTGTGTGCACATCTATGCACTTGTGTACATTTTGTGTTCATGTGTGCACCTGTGTGTGCACCTGTGTGTGCACCTGTGTGTGCATGCCTTTCCCAAGCTGCCAGGATTGATGTGACAGACGAGAAGATGCTGAACGAAGACATGATTTTATTAAACTACACTGTGGCCATCGTCCATGCTTTTAGGATAAACTACCATGTCTAAGAACTGTCAGACTTTCATATCTCAAAAAGCCAGGGTGACAAAGCTCTCGTTACAAAGGTAGGCATATGCAAGCTTTTCTTAGTCACTGTCTTGGGTGGAACTCACAGCCTCTAGAGTTGGTTTTCCTGTTAATTATTGAAGAAAGTAAAGAAAGGAAGAGCAGCACAGCCAGCCTGAACAAAGGGAGAGAGGATGAGACAGTCTTGGGGTTGGGGGTCTTCTTCTGTCATTTATAACCCATTTACAAGCAGAGGAAGACATGAAGAGATCACATTGGGACTTGGTTGCTCCAAGCTGCCGGGCGTTCTTGGCTAATGATGATAAACCTCTCTAGTCCACAAACACTCCACCTCTTGCAGCCCAGGTTGTAAAGGTTTAACCCTGGGCACAGCAGAGACCTCAGAACACTGCTGAAGTTGTTGTGGATGTTCAATGCTGACTGTGTGTAGCGGAGTGTAAGCAGTTGACTGTTCTGGTGAGTTCATGTATGGCGTGTGTGTTTGCTGGCTCTTACCTCCTTGACCAGCAGATGGCAGCACTGGAACGTGTCAGGTTCAGGTTTGCAGCCTCAAAGATACACAGAGCATTCTGTGGCTCAGTCAAGCTCAGTGACCTGTGCTCCTGGCCTCCCATACACACCCTGTCCTTCTGGGTGCCAGCAGAGGAGTCCAGGGAAAGAGTGGGACTCCATCTGGAAGCTCAGCTGGAAAAGATGGTGTTTGGGACACATTCAATGGTAAGCTGGAAACTTGAACTCTATTCCTGGGGCCCCTGCCAAGGGTTTACCTGTTGTAGATAGTAGGCCACTGTGAGCTGGTTCTACACACGTACACCTCATTTCATCCTTTTATTTCTTTTTAAACAGTCATTTATTTGAAAGGCAGAATTGAAGAGAGAGAGAAGCAGAGACAAGAAAGATCTTTCACCTGTTGGTTCACTCCCCAGGTGATCACAGCTGCTGGAGTCAGGTCTTTTCAAAACCAGAAGCCAGGATCTCCTTCAGGATGTCTCACATAGGTGCGGGGACACACAGGTCGGGGCTGTCATCTGCTGCTTTGGCAGGCGCATCAGCAGGGAGCTGGACCAGAAATGAAACAGCTGGGACTTGAACTAGAGCCTATAGGGGACATTAGCACTGTAGGCAGAGGCTTAACTTGCTACACTGCAGTGCAAGTGCCTCTTATGTCATCCTTACAGCAAACCACAAGGTGTACCTTAGCAGCCAATTTTACAGATGAGGAAACTGAGGCATGAGGGTGTGTCCTTGGCCGTCCCTCAGCACGTGGCAGGCGATGGCCGTGCTGGGCCTGCAGCCTGGCCTACTCCAGGGTCCTGCGTTGTCTCTCCAGCTGGGGAGGTGCTTGGTGCCAAGTCACATGTGACACCCAAAAGAGGAGTGAGTGACTGTACTCACCGAGGGGGCACCAGGCAGGGGATGGGGGGTGGCACACAGCCTGGAGGATGGGGGGTCTGCAGGGGGCGGGGCTGAGGTGAAGGCTGAGTGTGTCTGACTGGTACTATCTCAGGGCTGTGTGGCCTAGGGCAGCCCCCGCCTTCTCTGGGCCTCCCTTGCTCCATCTGTAAGCTGCAGCACCTCCCAGGCCTTGCTGGCTCTTGCTCTCCAAGGGACCCAGAAATTCCCTTGCCACATTCCATCAGGAACCAAGAGTGCCAAAGCCCCATCTCTGAAGTGCCTGTGGGCAATGGGTCATCGAGTACCAGGGGTGGCCCTATTCCTACCCACTCTTGTCTTAGCAGACCCTGCCACAGGCTGGCTGTGCAAGGCACAGACCCTGTGGTGGCCAGGAGTACAGGGGAAGCTGGGGGCAGGGAGGCAGGGTAGCAAGGAGATACTGAGAGGAGGGGTGGAAGCCAGGATGACAGGATACAGCAGGGGGCAGTCACCTGCTCTGGCCCTGGCCACCAGGGCCCATGCTGGTTGGGGACAGCCAGACCCTGGGGACCCTGTTGTACTCAGGCCTCCTCTGGCTCCTTCTGGCCCAGCGTGTGACCAGGGCTGGGAGGCAGAGGCAACAACCAGCCACTTTCCTCAGAGCAACCACACAGCAAGGGGGATCAGCTCTGGGTTCGGCCTGGGGACAGGGACCACTATCCCCTGCCGCCTACCCCAGGTCCTGGCTCAACCCCCATCTCACTGCTGCTCCCAAACCCCACAGCCATGTGCCATGTCAGGGTGGGAGGGTGGGGTAGGATGGTCAGAGCTATAGAGCCTAGCCCTGAGCCCCAATCTGCCCACACCTTCCCAAGACTCCATGCCAGCCTGTCCAGCCTTTCCCCAACCCCAGGCCGTGGCAGGGGATGGAGCCCAATGACGCAGGGCTGCAGCGGGGGAGGCTGCCCAGGCTGGAGCTGAGCCAGGGCCTGGGGCGGCCCCTCTGTCCAGGCCAGATGGCTGCGGCTCGGGCAGGAGAGCCTGCCAACCCCTGTGGTTGGTGTCCGGGCTCGAGCGCCTCACTTGGCCCTCAGCCCACAGTGCTGCTTGCCGAGGGCTGCGTGTCTCCCCTGAGAGTGAGGCTTTGGGGTACCCTCTCCTCCACCCACCCTTGCTCCAAGGAGCCCCAGACCCATGTGCACTGAGGCCAGGAACGAAGTCTGACTTACGCCACTCCCTTCTTTCCTTCCTTCCCTCCCTCCTTCTGTCCTTCTTCCTTCCAACAAACAGAGATTGAGGCCCTGAGCCTTTCATGGCCCAGCACTCCTGCGTGAAGGGTGCTGGCACTCCTGGGGGGGATGGGAGAGCCAAGCAGGACCGTGCGGGAGGTGGCTGGGGTCCCCAGGAGACATGCCCCTGAAGAGGACCTGTGGTGGGGATGAGAATCCAATGTGGCTCAATTCTGGGGGCACGTGGAAGGGAACAGGCAGAAAATCCTGGGGGAAAAAAGTTGCAGAGGGAGTAGGATGGTCAAGGCTGGGGGAGGACAAGGAGGAGGGAGGCAGTTGGGTTGGAGCCTCCGGCCTCCCTGGTCAGAGCTGGACTTACCTGTGCGAGGCTTCCATGAGAGGAACGAACGGGTAGGACATCGTGGCAGCTGTGCGACGGAAGAGCATGCTCCACCCTCCACATAGGCTAGTGGAAGGGCCCAGTAGCCCATCTCACAGATGAGCAGACTGCAGTGCCGAGGGGTGGGGTCGCTGAGCTGTGACCGTAGCATTTCTGGTGGGCAGCTTGGCTGCAGACCCCTAACCTCACGGCTTCTTGGGATGACCGCTCCTCCTGCCGGGAGCCTTGCCTTACCCAGCGTCTGTTGGCTTTGAGCGGCACATGACCACACGAAGTGGTCAAAGCAGCTGTGAGGTCCTGCGAAATGCACCTGTCTGCACTTGCCACCGGGTGCACACAGTGCAGAGGAGTCTGTCGAGGCCCCAAGGCGCTTGTCCGATGGGCAGGGTCCGTGAGGCAGCATGGCAGCTACAGCCACGGGCTCCTGAATTCTAGCCGAGCTCTTCCCCTCTCTGCTTCAAGACAGCTCTCGGCTTCCATCTTTTAAAAAAAAAGGACTTGTTTATTTGAAAGGCAGAGTGCCACAGAGAGAGGGAGAGACTCAGAGAGAAAGATCTTCCAGACGCTGCTTCACTGCGCAAATGACCACAAAGGCCAGGGATGGGCCACGCTCACGTCAGGAGCCTGGTCTCCCACATGAGTAGAGGGGCCAAGCACTTGAACTTCCCTCTGCTGCTTTCCCAGATGCGTTCACAGGGATCTGGATCTGAAATGTGGCAACCAGGACTTGAACAAGTACTGATACAGGAAGCCATTGTCTCAGGCTGTGGCTTAACCTGCTTCAACAGTAGCCCTTGACTTGTGCCTTGTGAGTCCTTCATGTCTGCCTGCCCCATCTGGATGTGGGGTCTTACGCTGCTGCCCCCGCTAGGTCCAGCACATAGCAGGGGCACACTCCAAGTCTGGGAGCACAATGGGTGTGAATACATGAGTATCGGGTGCTGGCTGGGGCACTTTGAGCTCAGCTGTTTAGCAGAAGGGACGTGAGGCTTGTGGAGCATTTCAGAGTGTTCTAGAAAACCAGGGAACTGGGTTGCAGCTTATCTGTCTGGGAAGGGAAGGGTATCCCAGCCAGAGGGAACAGCAGGTACAAAGGGAGATGGGGAGGAAAACGGGTGATAAAGACACAGCCGCTGCCCTGTGGGTCCAGGTGTGTACAAAGGCTGGGAAACGAGGCTGGGATGGGGTAGCAGGGATGGGACGGGGCTGCCAAGGTGCTGCGGCCAGGAATTGGCCCTGAGCCTAGGGGTCAAGGTGCCATGCCCCGCACTAGACTGAGTTCAAGTCCCCACCCTGACTCAGCTTCCCGCTAGTGCCCTCTAGGGGGAAGCATGCTGGCTCAAGGAGACAGGCCCTGTGACTGAGATGGGGCCTTGGATGGAGTTGCTGGCTGCTGTTTTTGGCTTGGTCCAGCCCTGGCCATCATGGGCCTCTGGTGAGAGAACAAGCTCATGGGTGCCCTTCTATGACTCTTAAATCAAACCACTAAGTCAACAAATAAAAGATTACCCCAGTAGGTGAAACTCTGGCCTGGGGCGTGCAGGCAGGCAAACAGAACCTGCAGGGAGGGAACCCCTACAAGTCACATGGTCCCTTGGTGCTGTGGGTACCTCCTCTGTGAGACTGAGACCTGCGGGTCCCTGCCCAGATGCGCTGTGGTCAGTGCTGTCCCGCCGTCATAACAACCCAAGAGGCTCTGCTGCACATGGAATCTCTTTAATGCCCCGCTGTCTTTCTGCCCAGGCTCACAAGGGTGCCTGCGATGACCTGCTCTTTTTGACCCTCAAGCCTTTCCTCTGGTGCAGCCCAGTCCAGGACAGTCCAGCGTCATGGGCCTGGGCCTGGGTGTGGCCCAGCTCTGAGGGTGGTGGCCTCAGTGGCATCAGAGGAATGAATACGGCCATGGGCAGCAGTGGCATCAGTCCCTCCGAGGCCGCGGGGGAGCCAGCGGGGGGCAGCTCAGTAGGATCCAGGTTGGCGTCGTTCCAACCCTCAGAGGTGTCGCTGGGACCCTTGGTGCTGGTGACTTCATCCTCAGATACAGGGACAACACAGGACGCCTCTTCCCAGATCTCACCGTCCAAGTCCCCTGCCCCTTGGTCAATGGCCCCTTCCCACTCGCCAGAGGTGTGAATGCCCATGATGCCTTCCTGCTTCTGCTCCGAGCCACCCGGCTCTGCCATGGGCCAGGCTGGCATCCCACTTTTGCCCTGGCCAGTCCAGAAGAGGCTGAACTCCTGGCGGCAGGTGGCCACAGCCAGGCTGATGAGCAGAGTACTGGACACCAGGTAGAGCAGGGCGGGCTGGCCCACACCCATGAGGACCATGGCCAGGAAGGTGGTCAACAGTCCCACGGCATAGGCGGCAATACAGGCCATGAAGTAGAGCTGGCCGGAACGCATGTGCACGTCGAAGCGATGACAGTAGGCGACCAGGAAGCCAGGGACAACGATGTCTCCGAAGCCGAGAATGGAGAAGGGCTGGTCACACAAGGTCAGGGCTGAGAAGCTCAGTCGGGGCACCTTGAGCACCATGGGCAGTCGCTCATGGCTGGAGGAGTGCGTGGGGCCTGAGGCCACCTCCACCATGATGCTCTCACCAGTCCTGGTGAAGAGGGGTGTGATGAACACAAAGAAGACATCGAAGGCCAGCAGGGCCAGCAGAAAGGAGGCGCAGTTCCGGAGTGTGGGCAGCCGCACGCGCCGCAGGACCAAGAGGCAGTAGGCCACGCCCAGAGCGTCCTGCAGCAGCCACGCCCAGCGGTCCTCGTTGCGGTAGGCCACCCAGAGCAGGGTGATGGAGGTGCAGAGTGCAAACAGCAGCAGCAGGGGCAGCGGCACGCCAGCCCGGTGGCCTGGCAGGGTCCAGCGGGCGTGCTGCAGCGGCAGGCGGCGTACCAGAGGCTCCAGGCAGCTGTAGAGGCCCGTGGCAGCACCCAGGCTGAAGATCCCGATCATAACGTAAACGAAGCGGTCATAGAAGAAGTAGAGCAGCAACATGATGGAGCAGGACATGACCACCACCGCACCTGTCATGACCGGTGTGAAGTCCACCGGTGCGTCCTCGTCCCCTTCCTCTTGGGTCCCCCAGGCCCTCAGGGCTGCTGCCAGCACCCCCGATGCTGGTGGCTGATGGGGTCCACCAAACCCCCCGCCCCCTCGGGCCCGGCGTCGCAGGAGCTGGTCGGCCTCAGTCATGCCAGCCCAGTAGCCACCCAGGGCCACGGTGCCCACGGCCAGGATGAAGATGACCACCATGTTGAGGTCGATGATGGGCTCTGGGGGTGCATACATGGCCACGTGGATCCCGCCATGGCCGTGGGCGTGGCGGAGGATGTCAAGCATGTCGGCGTAGCGCAGCACAGCCACAGGGATGGTGAGGCCTGGCAGGGGCCGGCTGGTGTCCTGGGCTGCCGGGGTGGTGTCAGCACACTGCTGGTCGCTAACGCGGCTCACGATGAGCAGCCCGTGGGCACCCTGGCCTTGCGCCAGCCAACTCTTGGCATAGAAGCTGCAGTTACCCCTCAAGACCATGGCGGTGGTCCGGCGCAGGGGCTGTGGTGAGCCAGGCAGGACCCGGTGGAAGGTGTCCTCACCTGGGCACCAGGGGGTGGTGGTGGCATCGTACAGGGGCAGGAGCGGGGCATGGAGCAGGTCCCGGGGGAGAGTGATGTAATCAGAGCTGAACAGGACGCAGTAGTCCTTGCTCCAGTTCTCTGACACCACATGCACCACGCCGTACTCCCCCCGGGCCACGGTGCTGAGGATGAGGAAGAGGAGGAGTGAGCCCGTGGGGAGAAGAGCCAGGCACACCATCCTCCTCAGTATACCCCCTGCGTCGTACCCAGTGCCGCTGCTGCCCACAGGCTCACCTGCTCCCCCAGGCTCGGGTGTGGCCCTTTGTCACAGAGCCCCCCACCTTCCTGGAAACCAGGGCCACACCTACCAAGTCACAAAGCTGGGTCAGGGTTGTGTTCCCCACCCTGGCCTTGGCCAGAGAGCTCACTGGCTCTGTGCACGGCCCTGCCCCGTTCTGAGGGGGCAGGGCCGTCAGGCGGGATGATGCCCATCACAGGCCCTCTGGGCTCTTGACCTACAGGCTGGCGCAGGGCAGTTCTTTCCTCTCAGGATGCTGGACCACAGCAGCCTGAGTCCCCATGCTCAGAGCTCAATGAGCTCAAGCACTTGAATTGTGCTTACTCTGCCATTTGTGCTTGCTGAGGCCCTCCCTGGGAGCTGGAACCACCAGCTGCTCCACAGTGCAAGTCACTCCCACCCTGCCAGGCAGTGGAATGGCCGTGCAAGCCAGGCTTGCTAGTGGGAACAACCCTCAGGGGCCCGGCGGAGCTGTGCAGGGGCTCCTTGTCTGCTCTCCCTAACCTCCCTCCCAAGTCATGACAAGGACGGGCCGGTGACCCAGCTGTGACTATGATGACACTGTGAGACACCATCCTGAGGACCAGGGAGGGAGAATGGGAGCAGAGCGGGGTGCGGGGCAGCGGTCCCTGGATGTCCACATGCAGCCAGCGTCCAGGATGATTGGCCTAAGCTCTCATGCAAGAGGAAGTGGCTGACAGTGTCTTTGCTCCCATGTTGTAGACAAGTGCAACTGAGGCTGGGAGATGCAGGCAGGCTGGACTCGTGGCAGTCTGATCACTGGACCTTGATGTCTCTAGAACATTCTGAGCTGGCACCTGTGCTGCTCTCCCTGCCCTGCCCCTGCAGCTGACTGGGTGGATGTCTCCTTGAGAGAACATGAGAACAGGGAGAGCTGGGTCAGCAGTCAGGAGCTCTGCCTGTTCCCTCTCCCAGACTCTGCAGGCTCCCTTCCCACAGGGAGCTAGGGAAGGGGCTTGGCTAGGTGGGTGGTGTATGAGGCAGCTACTGCGCCCTACAACCAGATGGGGGGAGATTTGGGTTTCATTGTTCTCATGCCATGACTGCCAACCTGGGACTATCCCCTGCCACCTCCCTGGCCAAACTCAGCTCCCTTCTTATGTTGTGACAATCGTCTCAGGCCAGGACCCTTTCCCTCGGGCCCTGGCCCAGTCTCCAGGACATCGCTGCAGAGCCTAAGCTTGGATTCGTGCCCCCATCTATCCCTCCCTGCTAGAATGGTCCAAGCCCTCAGCTCTCTCCCTGAGACCCCCGACGGCACAGCTCCTGACACTCAGGCCTTAGCTCCTGCCCAGCTTCAACACTGCTTCCAGAAAAACATGCCCCCCTCCTTTCTTTCCTAGTATTTTAAAGCCAGCATGAAAGAGGGACAGTGATTCCATCCACTTGTTCAGTCCCCAGGCACCCACAATGGCCAGGGCTGGACCAGCCTGAAGCCAGGAGCCTGGAACTTCATCTGGGTCTCCCATGTGGATGCAGGAGTCCAAGCACTTGAGCCATCCTCTGCTGTTTTCCCAGGCACATTAACAGGGAACTAGCTGTGGAGTGGAGCATCCCAGATTCCAACCAACATCCAATGAGATGCCAGCATTACAGGTGGCAGCTGTCCTTACTGTACCATGGCATTGGCCATGGAGGCTACGTGAATGGGTTTATCTTGACTTGATTGCCTGTGCACAGACCCTGTGTGACATAAGGTCTCGTTCACAGGTACCAAGGATAGGATGTCCACCTAGTTCAACCTGGAACGTATGAGCTGTGTGTGCCTCCAGCGAGCGGGCAGCCCCCTGGTCTTTCCTGACATCCCTTCTTCTGCTAGGCCTCTGCCCCTGGCAGCTCTGGGCTGCCTGGTCAGGCAACCCACATGGACAGATGGACGAATGAGATGCCAACTCCAGCTGCTTCTGCAGCACTTGGAGGCAGAGGTGACCCGAGGGGACCTTGCAAAGAGGTGGGTGGACAGAACCCAGCCACCCACCGGAGCTGGCAGTCTCCCCACCCCCACTGTCGGCATCTGTCTCACCCACACCTAAACTGACAGCTCATTTCTGGTGACTCACATTGTGTCTTCGAAGCATTCAGCTTTCATGAGAATCCGCTCTCCTTGTTTGTACACTTCTGATTCACCCACCAATATAGCATTTAATTACATTATAAACAGTGATTACAGGGACAAGAGAACTGTCAGGAGAGCGAGTGACTGACAGGTGCCATGGCAGCAGGGGGAAGCGAGGGGGCGGGGTCTTGTACCAGGACTGAGTCCAGGGAAGAGGCTGTAAGCCCCACCCCCTCCAGGGTTCCCAGGGTCAGGTCAAGGGGTGGCTGAGGGAGGAGACACCTCGGCACGGAACGCAGCCACATCTGCACTGGTCCAATCCCCCAAACCAGCCGGCACCATTGCTGTGCAGTCCTGAATCTTCTAGAGGCCATCCCATACTCCTGCTGGCATGACTGCGGTGACCTCCTGTGATGGGGAAGGTGAGTGGAAACACACCCCCTGCTCTGGGCAGCTGTGGTGGGGTGGCACTGGCTCACCAGCTTCTCTGTAAGCAAGCAGTTCTCAGGGGCCCTACCACACCACTCCTCCCTGAGTCCCAGAGAACTGAAGTCTGGGCATGAACAGAAACTTTAAAAACATTTTTTTTTTTTTATTTGAAAGGTGAAGAGACTGAGAGAGATCTTCTGCCTGCTGACTCACTCTCCAAATGGCACCAGCAGCCAGATCTGGGCCAGAGTGCAGCCAGGAGGCAGGAATTCCTTCTGAGTCTCTTGGGTGTGTGCAGGGGCCCAAGCACCTTGGCCACCTTCCACTGCTTTCCCCGGAGTCCCAGGAGGGAGCTGGATCAGCAGAGCCAACAGGCCTTAGCCTGGTGCAGTGAAAAGGGATGCTGGCATCTCAAGCGGGGCTTAACCCACTGCCTGCCACACTGCACTGGCCCCTCACGCAGCGAGCTGATAGCTGCATCACATTGCTGCCGGTGGCTCTTACGGACACAGAAAAAATCCATATGCACTTACATATGTGAGCACATTTAATGCTGTGGAACTGGATGCTTGAATGTGGTCAGAATAAGTGTGTCATGTGTATCTCATCACAGTACAAAAATAAAAGGGGGACCGCTTCCAGTCCTTCCAGTGGCATTATTGCCACCTGCTACCTCACCCATACTCTGGAAAGGATGCTCCAAGAAGCAGGAGCCCTAGGCTGCCCCCTATGTGCCCACCCGGCCCAGCTGGACACCACTGCACTTCTCATATGAGGTCCCTAAGAGGCCTCTTGCCCCTGCCTCCGCCCAATGAGAGGTCAGGCACCAGGGGTCTCCGGAGGGTGGCCTGGATCTCCCATGATGTCATCTGTGTCACCAACTCACAGAGAACTTGGAAGAACAGGCTTGGCCCAGGCCACTCTCCAGCCAGGACTGCCAGCAGGGCCTGTAGGCACAGGTTGGAGGAGGAAGGAGTGATGTTCCAAGGTGGGCAGGCATAGGCTGAGGATGCTGGGGGTGGGTCAAGTCATGAGGGGCGGGTCACATGAGACCCCTGCAGCTTTCTAAGGGCATTTACTCTGCAGATGGGGAACATGGGAAGTGGTAGGCTGCAGAGGGCAGCATGGCCCAGAACTCCTCAATGTTAAGGCTTGGGGGAGACGCCATAGAGGTTGGGAGGTCACCTGAGCTCTCACCCAGCCCTGCCCCTGCTGAGGGGGTGTGGGGTGGCCCATGCCGGGTTGTTTTCAGGTATCACTGCTAGGGAAAGGGGGTGGAGGATGTGAGGGAGCAGGTGCTGGACTCAGAGCTCCCATCGCTTCCGCCCAGTGGGGCTCAGCAGCAGACTCTGGCCGGTGCCTCCATCTTGGGCACAGGCCTGAGGTCACCCAGAAACCTGGGGTACCCTCACCGCCCTCCTGTCCCCACAGCTGGCCCTGGCCTCTGCTGAGTCCAGGAGCCTTTGGGTGGTGGGTGGGGAGGGAGGCGCTGGATCTGGAGCTACAGGAGTGTAGGCTCAGCTGCGCAGTGGGCATGGGTCTGCTGACGTCAGACCAAGCACATTAGGAAGGACTTGGGGCTGCAATGAGGGACAAGCGCTCACAGTGAAGGTGTGACTGTTGGGCTCCAAAACTGCCCCCCTCTATTCCCATAGATCTATAGATCTGACTCCCTCCTTGTCACTAACGAGGCCTCAAAGGGAAATAGGTGCCCGGGACAGCGGCTGTGCTGTTCCACTCAGCCATAGAATCGTTGTCCTTTGTTCTGCACCCTGGGTTGGGTCTGGGGGCACACAGGTCCAGGCTGGGGCATCTTCAGGCATCGCCTGCCCAGGTGGAGAAGAATCCTTCTGGTTGAGGTGTCCAGCGATCTCTGGGGCTCGGGTCATCCTCCAGTTGTGCAGCCCCCTGCCCTCAGAAGCTCTGCTTGGGAGGGGTCCCAGGTTCCCCTAGTCCCTTTGCTTACCAGGGGCCCCCTAAACACCCACCACACCCCTCAATCCCCAGTCGCACCCCTCAGCTTGCTACCACTTCCAGCCTTGTCTCAGCGTGGTGACTGCTGGTCCCTCCCCTCACTTGGAGCACAAACAGCAAAGCGGGGTTGCAGCCCAGCCTGGCCGCTCACAGCCCCTGACTAGTGCAGCCCCTCACAGTCCTGCTGACCTGGTCCACGGGCAGCTTCATCAGACGAAGGCAGAGGCAGGTAGGATGTCTCCTGGGGGTCCTTGACCTTTGGGGGTCACTTCTGGTCCCTGAAGAGTGGCTTCTCTCCTTCCCCCAAACTCCCTCCAAGGCCCCTCAGGAAGTTAATGACTCAACAGCATCTGATCTTAACTTTGCATTCTCAGCTCTGCTCCTGCCCTGGGGTGTGGACCCCATCCCTGGCTGCTGCCACTGCCTCCTTGGCTCCAGCTGCCCTTGCGCCCATGGTGGCCTCCCATGCCCAGCTGAGTCAGGGCGACCTCCTTACCAAGAACTGTCCCTTCTCACAGGGCCCGGGCAGAATGCCCACCACGTGCCTGCTCTCAGGTGTGAGTGGTTAGCGTCCAGAGAGCCTGTAGGCAAGGCCCCTCCCAACAGCCCCGGGGAGATACAGGCCCCCACAGATACTACTTGTGAAGATAAATATTATTTACAACAGCTGTCCCCTCCGAGCCAACATCTTCATCCCTCACAGCCCCTCCCCCCGCCCAGAGACCTGCTCGGGCTGCCCAGCCCTGGACGCACAAGGGGTAGGCAGAGGCTGGGCCATTCCACATGTTGTGAAAGAGTCCCCCGCCTGCTCCAGGGCCATGGGCAGGCAGGGACACTGAGCCATCCCTTGTTCAGTTCACAGATCATTCTGCACCCCCCATCTTCTCACCAAGGGGGAGCCAGCAAGGCCAGGAGGTGACAGGGACCTAGAGTACCATGGCCTGCAGGGCAGTAAGGACTCTAGGGGCCCAGGCAGCAGGGCAGGGCATTTCTGGAGGAAGGCAGATGTCAGTGATGGTGTTGGTGATGACCGAGTGGCCTGGCAGTGACCTCTAGCTGGGGGGCCTGACCACATATCCCATTCCTAATGATGTCTCTGAGGGCTCCCGTCCTCATAGCTTTGGCGCTCAGTGGTGTCCAGAAGCATCCGTAAGACCCGCAGCTGGTGGGTCATCATGGTCACTGGATGCTGTCCTGAGAGTTTCCCATGATGCCCTGGGGCAGCAAAAGCTGTCACTCAGCTGCTGAGGGCCTGGGGCTCCAGCGGGCTGGAGCGAATCTGTGCCATGGGAGGAGGAGCTCCATAGGGTCCTAGCATGGCTGCAGCATTGCAGCCTCCGTTCCCATCTCCACCCCCAGGGAGGATTGGGGCTCAGCCCAGTCTTCCAGGTCATTTTCCACTCCTGAGCCTAGAGCTGCTGGCTGAGAGAAAGGTCGGCCTGGGCCCTTCCAGGCTGCCAGGGCCACTACTCTAGGGGCAGAGGTGTAGGGACTTGCTGGTGGCAGGCTGGACCACCGTCTTCCCAGCCGCAGACGTGGTGGAGGTGAGGGTCAATCTATGGCCCTGTGGCTCACACCGCCGTGGACTGCTTGATGCTGTGGAAGCTGACGCGGGTCGGGGAGGTGGGGATGGACATGGCGCGGGCCACGCGGGCACGGATCGAGTGCTTGTCCTGCCACCGGTGCCACCTCTTCCGGATGGCAGAGCGGACCTGTGGGCGTGGAAAAGGACGTGACGCCTGAGCCTGGAGCCCAGGACCCCCTCCTCCCTCCCCTGGGGGTCCATGGAGGGGGCACAATTGCTGATTTGCATATCTGTTGGGGTCCTGAGGAAGGGGGCATCTCTCTAACCCAAGGACCTCAACCCGCATGTGTCCCCTGCTCCTGAATGAGGCCGAAGCCCTAGCTTTTCACCCTCCCCACTCCACCCTGTCCCCACGCCTCTGAGAGCAACTACAGGAGTGGAGTGGACAGGTGGCAGGCACCTGGAGTGCAGCCCCAGCCCTGGGCCTTACCTCGCTGTTGAGGAAACAGTAGAACACAGACACGAAGAAGCCCTGGGGAGGGGGCGATGACAAGGCTGGTCAGAGGCTCCTGGCAGCCCCTCCCCCTCCCCGGCAGCTGCAGGTGCCACCCTGAGTTAGAGGGTGCTGGGTACCTGGAAGGACTCCAGGAAGGAATTGAAGTAGATGAAGACGACGCGGGACACCTCATCCTCACCGGGGTGCACAAAGAACAGCATGTAGGTGATGCCCAGCAGCGGGAGCAGCACCAGCGTGGCCTTCACAGCCTTCCTGCGGTGGGCAGCGGAGAGGGGTCAGTCACAGCGCGGTTGGCAGCAGGAGAGGGGGCCAGGGGACCTGGGGGAGCCAGTCACCTGTACTGAATGGTCTCAGATGTAGTGGATGCTCGGAGCTTGGTCATGAGGATGCGGACGATGTTGAAGAGGAAGATGAAGTTGATCTGCAATGGCAGTGCATGGTGGGTCTGGGCTGTGCGCAAGTGTAGGGAGGTGTGGAGGGCCAGGCTCTCTCAGCCTGCTCCCTCTGCCCTTGGCGCCCTGCGAGCTTGCACTTACACCCCCTCCTGGTACATCCCCCAACTGCAGGCACGGAGGGTCCCCCCTCTGGCCATGGGGAGCAGTGATGACCCCGCCCTGCTGTGCTCTGTCTCCTGCCCTCCCTCCCCTGCCCCAGGTGCTTACCAGCAGGACCAAGATCATGGGGCCTTGATAGATATAGTCGGTGTACACCCCAGGCCTTTTGCCAAACCAGCACCTGGAAGGCCGCAGAAGAATGGGGGAGGGACTGCCTGAGTCCACTTGAGTGGCAGGACTGGGGCCAAAAGCTTGGATGCGTGTGCTCCCATTCCAACCCCAGCAGCAGGTCAAGCCTCCCGAGCCCCTGCAGAGCCTCCATGATCCCGTCCGTTAGAATGGGCAACATCACCGTGGCAGGGAAGCGAGGCCTAACCGTTACCCCAGCTTGTTCAGCTCCACTGGATGGCCGGGGCTGTGGCTGAGCACACCCCCTGAGCAGAGGGGCTGCTTGGGAGGGGATGCCCACGGATCAGCTCTCTCTGTCTTTGAACAATAGGCACCACCTGCTTTGCACTGTCCAGGGAGACCTGGGGAGGGACAGGGATCGGGTCCACAGAAGTCCTGGATCCCTGTACATCCACACTTGGGGAGCCGATGATACTTCCGTAAGCCAGAAATACAGACTATTTTCCATGCAAGCTCTTGGATTCTTCCAAGTTGACCACAAAATTCAAGCTTCCAAAAAGCCTCAGGTGGGCCACACGCAGTTGCCAATAGGCAGGGGTGTCTGCTCTTTGAGCTGATGCGCTGCAGATCCCTCCTGCTGCAGTGTCTGCATCCCGCCACCAGGTGGGGCTACAGAGCTGCTCAGACCACAGTGCAGACACACCCACACACCTGCAGGCACTGGTACCGCGGCCCCAGGCTGTTTCCTCCTGTTTGTGCTCTAGGACCCCAGCTGAGTCCCCGCCCTGCCAGCTGTGCAGCACAGGGAGAGCTGAGACTGTCCCAGCAGGTGTCCGCCTCACCAATCTCACGAGTAACTCTGCAGGCCCCGTGTGGAGCCCGGGTGAGCGGTGCTGTATTCTCTCTGCATCCCTGCGGAAGCAGAGGAGGGGCCTCTGATGGAGGCCACATGGACAGTGGGGCAGCTTCGTTGGCAAAGATCCTGGCACCTGCGCGGCCGGCTCGCCGGCCTTGGCTGCCTATCCCTGTGGTTCTCAGTCTTGGCTGGGTACCAGAATCAGCTTCCCAAAAACCTCATTGCCCCACTCCCAGGCCCACAACCAATTGCCTCTAACTCCCTGGGGGTGGAGCCCAGGCATAGACAGAGATCTCCTGCCCAGTGGTTCACTCCCCAAATACCCACAACAGCTGGAGTCAGGTGCCTGGAACACAACCCTGGTCTCCCATGTGGATAATAGGGACCCAACCATTTAACACATCACCAACTGCCCCTCACCCCCAACCCCAGGGAGTGCATCAATGGGAAGCAGGCACTCTGGTATGGGCTGCCTTCACCACTGCACCCAGTGGATCTTCTATCAACCTGACGGTGTGTCTGGAGTCCAGCTGCAGGGGCAAGGGGGACCCCAGAGTCTTCCCTGTGCAGAACTGCAGGCAGCCGAGCGGGGAGAGGCCTCTGGAGCCATCTGGGTCTCTTTCTATCAAATCCCCGGACTCCAGGAAAGAGGGTCTTCATAGCAATAGGAACCATTTGCATAGCCACATCTGAGCACTGTTCTAAATGCTTTGCATATATTCACTAATTAATGTCACCCACAACAACCCTTTTAGGTAGGTTCTATGGTTAGAAAGCCCACTTTACAGATATGGAAACCGAGGTGCGTGGCAGTTTCTTGGTTATGTTACAACCTGACCCTGCCTTGGCAGTGCCCTGGGAGGGACCCTAAGAACGAGTCCAGCGCCCACTCTCTGCCTTGGTAGCTGTAGAAGTGTCGGGGTCCTGGTGGGAAAGCCACCGCAGTATCACACTACGCCTACCCCCGCCCTTGGGGAGTAGGGTGGAGCCTAGGGCTCAGCAAAGGGGTCAGCGGCAACTTACTTCTCATTGTCATAGTACAGCTTCCCGATGGCCCAGGCCACGATGATGGGGAAAGGAACACCTGGGAGAGACGGGGCCGGGTCATCACAGAGCCTCCATGGCCGGGGGAAGCAGGGGGAGCGGAGGGAGGAGGGCGGGAAGCCAGATGTGCCCGCTGTCCCTGGGCAGAGGGCACAGCCCCCGGGCAGAGGGCACAGCCCCCGGGGAGAGGGCACAGCCCCCTGGGCAGAGGGCACAGCCCTCGGGGAGAGGGCACAGCCCCCTGGGCAGAGGACACAGCCCCCGGGGAGAGGGCACAGCCCCCTGGGCAGAGGGCACAGCCCCCGGGGAGAGGGCACAGCCCCCCGGGAGAGGGCACAGCCCCCTGGGCAGAGGGCACGGCCCCCGGGCAGAGGGTACAGCCCCCTGGGAGAGGGCACAGCCCCCTGGGCAGAGGGCACGGCCCCCTGGGCAGAGGGCACGGCCCCCGGGCAGAGGGTACGGCCCCCCGGGAGAGGGCACAGCCCCCGGGCAGAGGGCACAGCCCCCGGGGAGAGGGCACAGCCCCCGGGGAGAGGGCACAGCCCCCGGGCAGAGGGCACAGCCCCCAGGGAGAGGGCACAGCCCCCGGGGAGAGGGCACAGCCCCCGGGGAGAGGGCACGGCCCCCGGGGAGAGGGCACAGCCCCCGGGCAGAGGGCACAGCCCCCGGGGAGGCTTACCCCAGCCAATGCAGACAAACATCCACTTGCGCAGGCGGTCAGTGGAGTAGGTGAGCACGATGGCCGTGTGCAGGTAGCAGCCCTCGCCGAACATCCAGAAGAAGTTGGTCACGTGGAAGTAGTTGTAGGCAGCTGTCACCAGCCTACACCAGCCCTGCCCCAGACAAGGGGGTGAGGAAGGGGTGGGCGGGCAGTGCCCTGGGCTGCAACCCCTCACCCCCACACTGGCACTTACTACGTTGCTCTGGTGGGCTTCGGGGCTCATGGTGAGCTGGACCACAAACCACGTGGCGTTGCGCAGGATGAAGGCCGAGATGAGGTTCCAGTGAATGATGTTCCTCAGACACCGGATGCTCCTGGGTCAGCATCAGGGGAGGGAGGATGAGGGCCTGGCCACCAGCCCAGGGCCTGCTGGGGAGCGTGAGGCTCTGGGCCTGGGGAGTTGACCGGCCTAATCCCACAAGGAGGTGACCCCCAGGCTCCCTCTGGCCACGCTTATGATCAGGCATAAGCTCCAGGAGGCGGAGCCTGACATGTCCCAGGACAGGGGTTGCCTGTCCCAGCAGTGTCTGCTCTGTGCCACTCCAGGAGTGACAATCACAGGCCTCTCTCAGGAAGTCTTTCCCCTGACCACCCAGATTCCCAGGCCTGTGCCCAGCTGCACCCATTCCTGGCGGGCTCTGTCACCCACACCCTTGGCAGCAGGACTGAGGCTTGGGCACATTCAAGCTGAAGAGGGCCCAGCCTCCAGGGTACCACCTGCTTGGTTCCCCTTACCCACCCGGCCTAGGTATGGGTGACACAGGTGAGCCTAGGGCTTGTCCCTCCTGAAATCTCCCCTCCCCCACAGCAGCCATGGCAGTGGGGGCAGGTACCGTCCTGTCCTGGGACAGGGCCCCTTTCCAGCAGCCTGTAGCCGCCCCACCTCCTACTTGCCCACTCAGAGACCCCAGCCAGCAGGAGGATGAGCCAGGGCCACCTCACCTGAGCCGCAGAAAGAGGACGAAGGCCACCAGGAGGGCCGCCAGGGAGACACAGTGGCCCAGGTAGTTGATGATGACGGCCACGTGGTAGTGCACCTTGCTCTTCTTCTGAGGCAGGAGAGAGGGGCGCAGTGGGGAGCCATGCAGCACCGGGGTGGGGGTGGGCGGCAGGGACAGAGCAGCCAATAGGGCGAGGGGCCTGGGGCAGCACTGCCCCAGCTATTCCTGGACCCTGGATCTTGTCCACCCCCTGGGCTGGTAAGTGGACGGGAAAGGGGCCGCGGCTCTGGGACTTGCATCCTCCGCACACTCTGTATCCAGTCACCCAGGGTCCTCCTGCTGCAGCCCCCACTGTCCAGGACAGGGGACCCCAAGGCTGACAACAGATCTCACCCCCAGCTCTCTGCAGACACCTGCCCCCCGAAAGCAAAGCCGCCACCCCCTTTCTAGAAGCTGGAAGGTGTAAAGGCAATGGGTGGTGAGAGGGGGTCCTCGTCCACTTCACGGGCTCAGGGTGGGGACAGGGACATCAGAGTGGATATCACCTACAGAGGCATCCCAGAGCACCTGCCCTCCTCAGACCCACAGACATTTGAGCTGCTCCTCGGGGGTGGGACCCGTCCCTTCCTATCTTCTGCAAGGGGAAACTGAGGTCCAAACTCATTCCAGAACCAGGGCAAAGTGGTAGAGTGGGCAGAGTCTATTCCCCAATGTTCCCCAAGCTGCCGGGCCTGGGCTGGTTCCAGATCTGTCTCCTACTTGCCTGACCAGCTGAAAGCTCAAAGAGACTGCCAGGGGTGGCACCCCCAGAAAGGGACATGGCCAGGCCTTGGCAGTGTCACCCAGTCCGTGTGTTGGAAAGCTTATCCCTAACTTGGGAGGCATGGACAGGTGGGGCCGCTAGGACTGCTGGCTGGACCCATGCTGGTATCAGGGGAGTGGATGCCCATGGGGAGGTGTGTTCAGCTGCTCCTCTCTCTTCTCTCTCCTTGTGCCCTGTGTGAGATGCTGCAGCTAGGAGGCCCTTGCCACATGCCAGTCCCTTGACCTGGCACCTCCTAACCCAGAGCTGTGAAGCAGCACATCTCTGATTGTCCCGAGTCACTCAGCATGCAGGATGTTGTTACAACAGCCCCAACCGAAGGACAGCCTGAGAGACAACAGTCAGTGACACTGGGAGACGCCCAAGGATGATGAGACACCTGGGCTGTCTTGGAGAGGGGTGGCTGGAGCTGAGGACAAGCCAGGAACAGCCCGTGGGCAGCCAGGGACCCTCCAGGGGAAGCCCAGCACCCTGCCACCAACACATGTGGAGCTGGTGGGGACATCCGAGGAATACACATGAATAGCCAGGGCCTGGGCAGCACTTTGTGGCTGTGCCATGTGCAGAGCGAAACCCAGCAGGTACCTGAGGGAGGTAACACAGCCTGGGCTGGGGCCACCCTGCTCTGCTCCCAACAGACTCAAACTCAGACTAATATCTGCCCAGTTATATATATGTGTGTGTTTAATTTTAATGTGTATTTTCATATACACAAAATACATGTTTTTTTTTTTTTTTTTAATTTGGAAGGCATTAAGACAGAACTCTCTCATCTGGTGGGTCATACCCTAAATGCCTGCATTGCCTAGGACTGGGCCAAGCTGAAGTCAGGAGCTGGAAACCCACACGGATGACAACCTGATTCCTTGATTCCGCAGTAGCCAGAGCCAGGGATCCAAGCTGGGTATTCCAACATGGACAAGGGGATCTTACCACCTGCCCCACTGGTTTTGCCACACTCTGCAGGACAGAACCTTGTCCCATGGGACAGTGATGTCAAACCTATGCTGGTACCACACTGGGAGTGGGACTCTGAGACCTTCCCTGTCGGAGCCCCACCACAGCTCACCCCCAGAGGATTCCTGAGGTGCCCCCCACCACATTGGGATCCAAGTGGAGGCTCCTAAACCAGCAACATGGGCCCTGAGCAGCTCCTGGGTTCTGAGAAAAGTAGATTTTGCGGGGGCTGGTGTTAGGGCATAGCTGGAAAGGCTGTCACTTGCTCCACTTTCCGTCCAGCTCCCTGCTCATGGCCTGGGAAAGCAGAGAAGATGGCCCAAGTGTTTGGGACCCTGTATCTGTGTGGGAGATCTGGGGGAAGCTTCTGGCTCCTGGCTTCAGATGGCTCAGCTCCCGCCCTTGCAGCCATCTGGGGAGTGAACCAGCAGATGGAAAATCTCTCTGTAATTCTGCCTTTCAAACAAATAAGTGAATCTTTAAAATTAAAAAAAAAAAAAAAAAACAAGCAAGCAAGTAAGCAGGATGGGGTCCTGTAGGGCGGCAAACAACCTTGTTTCTGTTTCTGCATTCCAGGCTTGAACCCCCGGCAATAGTCTGGAGCCCCAGTCTTCTCATGTCCCAACAATGTGTGCCCACCCAGGATGTGCCAGGCCCGATCAGATGCTCAGCAGAGCCTGGGGGACAGGAATAGGGTGTGGGTGGGGACTAAAGTGACCACGGACAATGTGTGTGCAAGATACGAAGGTTACTGCATGGCAGTGCCAGGTCTTGGTGCCATTCCCAAACCAGGCAACAAGGGAATCAATCTCCCCAGGTGATGGTCCCCTGGGGGCAGGACTCTGTGGGCATCTGGCCTCTGGGTGCCCTCACACGTCCCATTTCACGGCTAAATGTGTGTGGCTCCTTGCTCTGTGATCCCCCAGGGCACTGCTGCTTAATTAGGACTCAGCCTGGACCCAGAGCTGAGAAACCTGCACTTGTCAACTATAATTCCCAGCTCTGGGAGGGGGCGGGCAGCCAGGCAGAAAGAATGACCTTTTCAATGAAATGAGTCAGTTTCCCTGTATGCTAGGCAACCAGGCCAGTGGGGGCTGCTGGGGGAAGGTGGGCAGATGGGGCTGGGTCCCAGCGCTGCCGGGCGGGAGATGGGCCTCCGTGCTGCCCTCCTGTCTACCAGGGAGGCACAGATCTGAATCCCTGACAGCTACTGTAGGGACCTGGAGGTTCCGTTACCTACTCAAGGTCACATGGCACCAAAGCACAGGGCCAGACTCCAATCCCAGACTGTCCCCAAAGCCGCCGCTGTTCTCACTGTACCTCCCAAGATGGGTGGATGAGAGCGACACCCCCAACCCTGCTTGCCCTGGCTCTGCTGGTGGCCAGAAGTCCAGACCCTGTCCCTGAATCCTTGGAAGGCACAAAGGGGGAAATTGGGGGCTATGAGAGTCCCCGTCAGTCCTCTAGTGGGGAAGGCCTTAGACGAGAGCAGGAGAAAGGAGGACCCCTCGGTGGCTGGCTCTGACGACCAGGAGACTGGGTACAGGGAGGGAGGCATGAAGAACTGTGAGCTATTGTCACAGGAGGGGATGGACACCTGCTTTTCTGGAGTAGGGGAGAGGGGTGTGACCTGGCCTTGAACTAGAGGCCACTGTCCATCTGCCTGTGATCCTGGGCACCCATCAGGGTTACCAATCACCAGGCAGGTGAGATGCAGGCTCAGGACTTGTGGCTGTAGCCGTGTCCCACCCTGGGGACAGCAGCTCATTTCCTTTCCTCTACATTCTCCTGTGTGCCAAGGAAGGAGCCCCCCCCCCCCCCCCCCGCTGAGAAGCAGGGTTTCCTGCCAAACAACCCTCTGGGCTCTGAGATGCCAGCAAGCCCCCATCCCTCTGGTGAAGGGAACCTGTTTGCTCTGCTAACCAGCTCAGGTGAAAAGGACCCCATCCTTCAAGCTCAGACTGGGCCACTTTCTCAGTGCAATAACCTGAGGTTGTGGGACCGACTGGCCAGAGCCTGCCCAGCCTCTGTGCTGGACACCCCTTTTCAGGCCAATCAAGGGCTCCGGCTCCACCTCCACCCACTGCAGGTTTGCACTGGGGGGTCCTGACCCACACCTCCCCCAGGGCAGCTTGGCGGGCTCAGTTTCACCTCCTCGTTCAGAATCTCCTGGCACGCCGAGTAATTCACGCGGGCGGCCCAGCTGCCATTGGCCAAGCACTCCCGGTAGCCATTGTCTGCAAAGGGAAGAAAGGGGAGCAGTCAGCAGCCCTTCGCCTGTGCCATCTCAGGGCTGCCTGGCCTGGGTCTCAGGAGCCAAGCTGGGGAAAGGGGCTGCCTCACTCCCCATCTTCCTGCTCTTTCTCTTGGCTGGCCCCAATAGGGCTGCAACGGCCACAGCTCTGCACCCATACCCCCACCACAGCTGGCAGGTGACCCTGGCTGTTTCTTGGCAAGCCTGTATGAAGCAGAGGTCACATGGCAGGCATTCTTCTAGAATCTCCAGAGAGCTGAGAAGGAGTCTTAACACTAAGATTGCTACAGACCCCTGCTGCCGGCCTGACTCCTTCGCCAAGAGCTTCATCCCCAAACACGCTTCTGGCAGCAGATTCTGGTTCCGACTGCAGGCCACGCTGGCTGGAGGACAAGAGGAGCCAGAGGCACCTGTGTAGGTGACCTTGGCCACCACCTTTCCTTGGATAGGGTTCAGCCCTGGTTCCCAAGGGACCACCAGCTGGTGACACCAGGATCAGAGGGAGATGCTGCATGGGGGTAGGAGGAATCTAGGCCTGCACCTCTCCCCACCCCAAACCTCCAAAGGGCCCATGGCCTGGCCTCCAGCCTAAGGCTCCTGGGCCTCTGCCTGCAGCTGGCCAGTGGGGACACGGGGCCAAGCTAATGTCCATCTGCCCCCAACCTGCCCCTGCCTTGTCTGTGGCCTGATCTCAGGCAGGACTGAGCCCATGGGCCACAGCTGGCCGAGAGGTGGTGAAGTTGCCGACCTGTAAGAGCAGGGTGCAGCCCCTGAAGGGGAAGAGGCAGCTACAGGGCCAGAGGACCCCTGGGGTTCTGCCAGGTCCAGGAAGTGCCAGGACCAGGACCTGGGTTCCAATCCTGGCTTATCCTGAGGCACAGTCTCTCTGATGCACAGTTTGCCTCTCTGCCAGCTCCATCCTCCCCAAGGCTGGGCTACCCCCATTGGTGATGGGGGGGCCAAGGGGCTGCAAGTGTCCAGGCTGGCAGGAGCAGCTGCCAGGAGGAAGGGACCTCTTTGTGTTCAGCTGCCCAGTGAGGCTCACGGGAAAAGGGGTATTTTTGGAACAGCTTCCTCTTGCTTTGAAGAAGGGTGGCAGCAGAGGAGGGAGGAGTCTCACAGCAGTGAGCGAGGGGCTCCCCGCTCCATCCCTGGAAGGCAGAGCCCACATGGAGGGACTCCCCCTGCCACACACACACCCTGCCCAGCATGGGAGGGGACACTGGGATCCAGGGCCAGCCTCAGGGACCGCACACAGCCCGCACAGGGCTGGGGGCCTCTTCCTCCCTTGCTTGTATGGGTGAGGGCCCCCCGCTTGCAGCTGTCGCTCTTTCTGTAAGCCAGGGCCTGAGTCACTAACAGGGATGAGTGAATGAAACCTGAGTGAGGCAGGTGGCATGGCAGGGAACTGCAAAGCCTGGCCATGGGGTTTGAGGCCTCAGGAGGGGCAGAGGTTGACGTGGGGACCATGCATCAAAACAGACCCTTGGCCAGTCCTGCCCCCTTCCCTGGGCTGCAAGTCAAGCCCCTGGATCTAAAACCCCAGCCACTAGGTGGGGTGGTGGGGGACTGGGCTGGTCCCGGAACCTCTCTAAGTTTGGGGGTCTCAGTTGTGAGGTTGGGGCTATTCCAACAGCTCCTGTTTTGCATCGCAGGGCTGTGCAGGCTCAGACAAACCAACCTGGCTTGCCGGCTGCTGCAGGGATGCCAGCCAGACCTGAGTGCAAATTCCAGAGTCACCACCAGTGACCTTGGCCAGCTCCCTCAGCCAGAATTATATAACGGTGACGCTGTCTTCTAGGGACGTGGTGGGAGCTAGCACACTCAGTGGAATGCAGAGCTGGTCCCGGGCAGGTGTGGGCTGCACCCACACAGGAATGCTCCTGTCATCTCCCACCTCGTCCCACCCCAACTGCCCCCCAACCCTGCCCTTACTTGTGGTGTTGTAGCGGACCCCGTAGAAAAAGGCAGGGCAGGGCCGTACCACCAGCTGCCCTGCAGGGCTCCGGGGCCAGCAGGTGCCAATGAGATCCACAGATGCGTTGCACTGCAATCCTGGGGGCAGAGACAATTGGTGAGGCAGAGCAGGGTCCCCAGCCAAGGCCCCAGGTAGGCAAAGGACCCCCATCCCAAGGCCTGCCCACCGCCCCAGTGGTCAACACGCGTGGCTCAACTGGGGACAGGATAGCAGTAAGGATCTCAGCACAGGGAAGGCACCAGGGGCAGGAGTCTGCACTTAATGCTATGGCACTAGGGAGCCAGTGTGGGTTCCAGAACAGAAGAGGGGCAAGGAAGGCTGGAGGTTGTGGATGGCACACGGAGGTAGGCCAAGCATGCTCCAGACGCCTCTCTCAGTGGCAGACTGGCACTGTGGAACTCTCCCAGAACATTCTGGAACAGGTCCAGTCCCCTGGTCTCTGCTGGACCCAGTACAACTGACCCCATAACAGACTCTTAAGACAGGTATCACCCCCCCTCACCCATCCCATTTACAGTGGGCGACCAGGCTCCCGGGTGTTTGGGACACATTCATTCCTGTGGGCCTTGGGTCCCCAGCTCCAAGCCAGGACAGATAAAGCACCTCCAAGGAGCCGGCACACCTGGAGAAGGAGCCCAGGTCTCTAAGCCCCTGCTCGTTCCACCAGCCCCGCTCTCCCTGCCCTGGAAGGAGCTGTAGCTTGGCCAGGTGGCAGCTGCGCTGAGATGGGGAGACCGCTTCTTGAATCTACCTCCAAGCTCTTGCACTTGTAAACCTGTAAACTTGACTCCTAGACCAGACTGTGGACCCCTCTGTACTTCCCCTGTGCCTTACAGGGGGAAGGGGCTGTTGCATAGCAGGTGCTCAACGGACAAATCGAGTGGGGTGAGCCAAGTTCTGAAGAGGAAAATGAATGGCAAGAGAGTAACGAGCCTCCCGGGGACCCCCTTCCACTTCTGCCAGCAGCAGCCTTGACCAGGGCTAGGACAGGAATGGCCTCTGGATCTTGAAGACCTTGCACTGGCTGTGCAGTGCTGGGCTGCAGACAGTGCTGGCCTGCCCCAGCTTCCACAGCTGCATCGACACCAGGTGTTTGAGAATGAAAAGAAAAAGCTCTGCAAAAGCGTTCTGCAAATGGTTGGTGATCCAGGCATCCGCACCTGCAGCTGCACGGGTGTGGGAGACCTAGAACCAGGCACTGCAGAGTGACCCAGGAGCCCATGCCTGCCTGGGCTGAGGCCGGGGCTCCTCTGGGCCTCAGCTGCCCTGTATGCCAAGTGAGGATGGCAGCAGTTGCCTCAAAGGTCACTATACTAACTGGGCTAATCCACCTCGGATTCCTGGAACAGTGCCTGGTAAGGAGTTGGCACCACTTGGGGCATTTTTAACAGTAGGGAACAGCAGCCCTGCTACCCACAGCTGCCAGACAGCAGAGACTGGCACCTCGGCTGCAGGAGACAGTGCAATGTGCAGCTCTAGGAGACCTGTGGCCAGTGCATGGGGGTTACCTGGGGTCTCAGGAGGAGGGGAGGGAGGACTCACCAGAGGTGTTGCTGGCCAGTGACAGGCTCTCACAGTGCTGGTCCTGCAGGAAGGTGGAGACAGGTTCCAGGCCCAGGAGCAGAAGGGCCTGTGGGCACAGGGAGGTGGGAGACAGGGTTAGACCAGGTCAGGCTAGGCTGGGGGAAAAGGAACAGTCAGAATACTGTTGTCCTGGAGCTTGCATTTAGCACAGCAAGTTAAGCCATCTCCTGGCATATGAACATCTGATATGCACTCCAGGGCATGTCCCAGCGACTCCACTTCAGAACCAGCTCCCTGCTAATGAGCCTGGGAAAGCAGCAGAGGAGGGTCCAAGGGCCTGAGCCCCTGCCCCCACATGGGAGACCTGGATAAAGCCCCTGGCTTCCCCAGACACTGGGAAAATGAGCAAGCAGATGGAAGCTCTGTCTCTCCCTCTCTTTCTGTAACTCTGCTTTTCAAATAAATGAAATGAATCTTTGAAAGACTTAAAAAAAAAATCCTGGAGTCTTATTTATGATGCAGCTTGTCACGACATACTGGAGAAAAAGGCCTCACTGCCCGCCTCTGCACCCCTTTCCAATCAGACCTCCACGCATCCCACCCCTCCCTGGACCCCAGGACCTCAGCAGTCCTGTGAAAGAAACTACCTTCCTGCTGATCCTCTCTCTTTGCCTTCCCCGCCCCCTCTCTCCCATGATGCCAGTGGCTCTGCCCCTTCCCCCTCTGCCACCTGCCTTCCCAAGTGCAGGGAGCTGTCCCCTCTCCTAGTAACAGCCTGTACCCTGCACCTGCTGGTCCTTGCCTGCCTGGACCCCAATATCATCCACTCTGACCCTAGTACCTGTCTGAGCCCCTGTGGCTTGGCTTATCTAATCCCTGTCCTGTTGTGGTGCTTTCTGCTCTCCCTGCACTGCCCCCAGCCCAGTGCCGAGCACCCAGGACCCTTCCAGCACCTCCCAGGTCAGGGCTGTGATGGGGCATCCATCTCTTGGACCCCCAAGAACTCTCCCACACTTTATTCATCAGTAATGAAGCTCCACAGTCTCTAGAGGGATGAGGAAACAGCTTTGCTTTCAATTACTATGGAAATGCAGGCATGGAGTGGGAGGAAGCCATGGGGCTCTGAGGCCTGGCACCACCGCAGCCTGCCCAGGGCCCACACCTCGAGTCTAGCCCAGCTGCCTGCTGAGGGTCACCCTGGGTCACTGCATGCCGTGTTTGGGGACATTTCAGAGGTGAAGCAGTGATGGAAGCTTGTGCTCTATTTGTCTTGCTTTCCAACCCTCAAATAAATAAAAACCCCAGCTGTAAAATGAAGCCTGCCGTGCTTCGGGCAACACAGGAACCTCCACCTTCTCTACCAGGCCTGCAGGTAGTGCTGGGCTCCAGCTGCCGCGCACCTGTGTCTCGCTCGAATCTCAGCTTTAAATGATCCCTGGGGATCGTTTTTTAAAGAAGCATGTATTTGAGGGCAGCATGGTGGCGTAGCACGCTAGTCCCCCACCTATGGCGCCTGTGCCTTTTGTGTACCATACGGGCGCTAGTTGCTTGGCTACTCCACTTCTGACCTAGTTCTCTGGTATAGCCTGGGAAAGCAGCAGAGGATGGTCCAAGTCCTTGGGGTCCTGTAACCACATTCTATTCTGTCCCCAGAGGCAGGCGGCTCAGCTGCCGGGCCAGAGGTTTCTTCTAGAAGGACCAGAGAATCCCGCTCATGGGCCTCCTCGCTCCCACATTGACTCAGTGGCAGCTCAGCTCAGGGGGTGGAGTCGGACTCAGGCCCCACCAACTGCAGGGTGGGGGGTGTTCCGCCTCTCTGCTGGACCCCACCCCGGGAGCGGCGCCACCCTCCACACCCCCGACCTCAGAGGCCGCCTCTCCTGCTCGCTGGCTCCTCCTGTGTCCCCACACTTCGGTCCCCTTGTCGCCCAGGAGCTCTGCAGTTCCAGAACCCCTACCCTTGGCTGCATCCCATCCTGCCTCCTCTGTCCCCCAAGACCAGATGGTCCCGTGAGCACTCCACTGTGCACCTGTCCCAGATTACAGGCCCAGTCCTGGCCCTGCGCCCTTGCAGTTCCCAGGAGTGGGTTCTGGCCTTGCCCTGCCTGAGGACACAGCACCCATGCACCCAGGCTAGGAGACAGCAAGCACGCCGAAGTCCTGGTTCTTGCATCACAGCCGATCCACTGCCTGGAGAGCCCCAGTCCCAGCCGCAGGGGCCCAGCGCCCTGACACTGCTTGTTGGGACACCTCCCAGTGCCACTGTAGTCTTCTCCCAGCCAGCGGCACCTGGCCTGGCACTGCCTCTCCCTCCGCGGAGGGGCTGCAAAGTGTCAGGCTTCCTCCCACAGGGAACTCCGGCCTCTCCTGCCGGTTCCTCTCCATGTCTGCCCATCGCCCGTGCAGTGGCCACCATGCTGTCTTTTTCTCCAACGGCAATGGCTGCCCCGAAGTCCCAGTTCGCTCCTAATTTCCTCTGCAAACAGACGCCTCTGAGTCACACACGGGGTGAAGAGCAGGCCAGGCCACAGAAGCCCTGTCTTCCAGAGCGCTCGCTAGCAGTTCGCTCCTCGGCAGACCCTGGCATGCAGGGAACGCTCTAGCAGACCATCCCTCTACCAAACTGTATGCATTGCTGCGTTTTGAATCACATGGGAGTTCAAGGGTTTGTCTCCACCCCAGCCCATCTCCTTGCAGAGCCGGTGTTGAAACACTGAGCTTTCAGGCAGATGGAAGTGGCACCACAAGTCTGAGCCTGGCAGAGCATCTGGCTCACTCACCAGCTACAGCCTTGCTTCTGTGCCCCAGCCCTCCAGAAAGGTCCCAATTCCATGCTGTGCCTCGAGGGGGGTGTTGCAGGTTAAGCCACTGATTGGACATGTGTATTCTGCATTTGAATGCCTGGGACCCAGCCCTGCCTTCGCCTCTGCTTCTGATCTGGCTCCCTGCTCCAGTACCTGGGAGGCAGCAGCCTAAATGAGTGGCTCCACCTGAGCAGAGTTCCACGCTCCTGGTTTTGGTCTGGCTGGACTCAGCTCTTGCAAACATTTAGTGGGTGACTCTGCAGGTGGAAGATCTCTCTCTCGCCCTTTGCCTTTCAAATAAATGCATCTTTTTAAACATACATATTATATATTATATTTGAAAGTAAGATTTACAGAGAGAAGGAGAGACAAAGTCTTATATCCACTGGTTCACATCCCAAATGGCCACAATGGCTGTAGCTGACCCAATCCAAAGTCAGGCACCAGGAACTTCCTCTGGATCTCCCATGTGGTTACAGGACCCCAAGGACTTGGACCATCTTCTGCTGCTTTCCCAGGCCAGAGAGAACTGGATCAGAAGTGGAGTAGCCAAGCAACCGGCGCCCATATGGTACACAAAAGGCACAGGCGCCATAGGTGGGGGACTAGCGTGCTACGCCACCACGCTGCCCTCAAATACGTGCTTCTTTAAAAAACGATCCCCAGGGATCATTTAAAGCTGAGATTCGAGCGAGACACAGGTGCGCAGCAGCTGGAGCCCAGCACTACCTGCAGGCCTGGTAGAGAAGGTGGAGGTTCCTGTGTTGCCAGAAGCACGGCAGGCTTCATTTTACAGCTGGGGTGAAAGTCACACCCAAGGTCAGGAACTGTTTTGAGCAGCCAAGTGGGGACCAGGATCTGGTTCTCTGGGAGCCCGTGTCTAACCTTCAGGACACAGCAGGGGGTGGTGCCTTCAGTGTGGCCGGGCACAGACTAGGATAGGCGCAGACAGGAAAGATGGAAGCGGAAGAGGAGCAGTGCAGGGGTCTGGGGCAGGGGTGGAGGTGGGAGGGATGTGGCTGATAGGTGCCTGCTGCCTGTCCTGCTCCCCCTCCGCCCCCCGGCCAGCCAAGCTGCCATCGCCATTCCCAGCACAACTCCTGCATAAAGGTTAATCACACCCAGCAAATGCTTATTAGCCGCCATAAATAACTGCTTGGCTGAGGCTTGGGTGGGCTTTAAGGCACAAGAGTGCAATCCTTGAAGGGGGTGACGTGGTGAGTAACCTTTCAGGAAGGTCACAAAGGGCCCCTGGAAGGGGGAGGCAGGGTGGCCTAGAGGCAGCTGGGCCTGACCCCCAAGTGTTCCAGAAGACCAGGAGAGGGGGCCAGCCTCCTGTCACAGTCCCCCACAATTTCCACACGTCAGGACTGGGCTGGCCCAACAAAGCCAGACACCCAGTCGTGCCCCTGGCTGTGCTGCCCTTAGTGAGTCCCCCACTTTCTCATCTGTGAAATGGACACACTGAGGTCACAGGGATGGGGACACAAACAAGTGCCAGCGGGGTTCCTCTAGACCCTGCTGGCTGCCCCTCCCCACAGTGCTGCTCTGGGCTGGCTAGAGAGGGCTGCAGCCAGTCCTGCCTCTTCCCACCCCTACCCAACCTTTCCGGTTAGTGTTCCTATGTAAAGGGGGTTTTCAGCTTGAAAGGAAGCCGGTTTTTGGTGGGAAGGCCACCATATTTCATGATCTCCACAAACCCCTCGCTTGTACTCTGTACTCCAGAAGTACAGGGCTAAGTTCATGATCTTGAGGGAAAGATGGGGATTCGGAGGAGACCAAGAGGGTGGGCACACACAGCAGAATGGACTCAGGGCAGCATGCTGTGCCCACAGGGCGGGCTCCCACAGAGTACTGAGCTGCCAGGCAAGGGCAGGGTGGGACAGGATGCCATGAAGGACTCAGAGGCTGGCTTGGCAGATTCTCAAGCTTGAGCTCCCAGGTGGACCCAGGCAGCTCTTTCCACACTGGCCAGTAGCTTTGTCTGCAGGTATGGAGACTCAGGCCTGGCAAGGAGAGGCAGATGAGGGGACACCTGTTCTGAGTAGACCACTCCAGGCCGGGTCGGCTTCTATGACCTTCCCTAACCTAGGGTAGGGTTGTGGGGCCTGACTCTCCCAGCAGCCCTAGTTAGTGACCCCCCATGCAAGGCCTCCAGCCAGCACTGCCTCCTGCTGGCCACCCCCCATCTCCCACAGGCCCTCAGATGCAGAGTACCCCAGTTCCTGACTGCACATAATTTCCCACCTCACTGTTGAGGTGCAGCCCATGTGAGGCAAAGCCAAGAGCAGGAAAGCTAAAT